TGCCTGGGCTGGCATCATACTGTTATCCTCCTTATCTCTTCCTCCTAAGTGACTGGCATTATTACAGACATGAGCCATCACAACCAGCTTCCCCCTCTCCCCACCCCCCCGGATCTCACTATGTCGCCCACTCTAGGCTTGAGTGATTCTCACAACTCCTTCTTAAGTAGCTGGGACTCTGGGTGTGTACCTGGGTTTATAAACATTATAGCTTATATTTAGCTTTTTGTTGTTAGTTTTGACCATTTCCAGGGTTTGAACTCAGGGCCACTTGTTCCACTGGTACTCTGTTGCAAGGTCACACCCTCAGTCCTGCTTTGTCTGTTTATTTTGGAAATGGAGTCTCATGAACTTTCTTGCTTGGGCTGGCTTCAAACCACAACACTCCAGATCTGAGCCATCTGCATAGCTAGGATTATAGGTGTGAACCACTGGAGTCTGGCATGTTTAATTTTAAGAGTATTCTGAGCCTGAGCTTTGTTTAGCATAGACTCCTGTAGAAAAGATATATTTATTCTTTAGCATGATCTAAGACCCTATTTGTAAACTCTTAACATTCTTCCTGCTCCCTGTTTTTGTTTTTTTTTTACTCTTCTAAGCATTCATTTTATTGGACAGAACTGCATTAGAACCATCTGTTTACTTGGGATAATGCAGTTACAATTCAGATTTGTGACATCATCATCAGAAAACCCCTATTACTGTGAAATCTTACTGGAAAAATGAGGACATATTGTGACAAGAGATACATACTGTGATTAAATAATTGTTAACTCTTGTGTAATCTCAACTGAACAGCACTTGCCTTTCTGAAAGAAGACAAGCTAGATGGAGCCAATGTCATGAGCATTAACTGCCCTTAGCATTTGGATGTGGTCCAGTATAATATATGATCCATATTCAGACTTTCTCTAATTTGAGTCATTATTACCAGTTCTACAAAGCTTGAATATACATAGTCTGTTCTGGCTTGCAAAATATTTTTTCCTTTCATTTGATATTCATTCAGCAACTAATTGGGCACTAGCTCTATGCCAGGCACACTGCCAACCACACTCTCACTTAATTCTCATAATAACTTTGTCAGTGTAAGAAGGTCACTACAAGCTGATATTTGTGAACTGACAGTTGTCAGTGAGCATTCAAGGTTGTTTTGTGAATCAAGTGAAAGTGTGCATACTTATCACTGAACATGTGAGCACACATGTGCACATACATATTCACATGTGCTAAAGCACATGATTTGTCACCATCCATAGGCAAGGCTGACTCTAGAATCTTAGATTAAATTCATAAAATACTTCCTACCTGTCCTTCTGCTTCCCCAGAAAGGATCTGACCAGTAGTGATCTATTCTGAGTCATCTACAAACCTAGTCTAATTGGATAATGACTAATTGCTAGGATGAGAGAAAATGAAGGGTATCTGATATTAAAAATGGTACACTTGCATAGTATCTTGTCTCTCTTCTTCAACATGATATTAACTTCTTACCTTGAAGGTTGGATTAAACCCAACTTCAAATTAGGAAATACCAAGGCATGATATTTCATACTTAACGCTGAAAGAGATTAAAGTTAATTTGGCTTTTCACTAAAGGCTCTTATAGAAGAAGTATATTTCTTGTGAGTGGGATGAAAAGAATCTGCAGTTCCCTGCTTCTGCATACCTCATTTGTATTTTCTTTGGCTCCGTTAAACCAAAGCTGTACCATTTATTTAAACTTACTTGCCTCAATAAAACTAATTGATAAACCCTAATAATTAATGGCCTGAAGTAAACCAAAATGACTTACATCTGCCCTGATGATTCCTACTTATAGTGACTCACTTTAATGACTCATCTTTCCTGTGCTTTGCTTACAGAAAAAAACCTGTGATGGCTCTCTATGAGCTGAATGCTGTCTATTACTCTTTGTTTACCACAGTTTGATATTGTGTTAAAATAAACAGACATGCCTGTCTCCTTTAACGTAATATTTCTGCCTAGTCAGGTGTACCATCGTCTATGCTTTTGGGAAATGAACCAAAAAATGCAAATCAGCTCAGTAATCCTGAAGCTATTCTTTTTTTTTTTTTTATTGTGAAAATACTGTACAGAGGGGTTACAATTACATGGGCACTGAAGCTGTTCTTGAGAGTAGTAGAATTTGCATGTTTTAAATGAAAACTAGAATTAGTAAGCATATTTACTATATGTTCTATATAATATATATAGTATACACATATATACTATATGTCAACAAACCTCTACCTTAAGGTGAATATTGTATGCAAAATAAAAGGAAAACAAGGCAATTATGCTTAGCTCAACATGTAAAGGGGTTCTCTGCTTCAGTTTTTGACATATGAATTCATATTTAAATGAAGTCCTATTATAACTCACATCCCATTCATCTTAAACATGATTCGAGGTGGCTTATGTTGTAAGATCAAAACAATAAATAAGAGACAGAGCTGGCACCAGTAGCTCAGATCTGTAATCCTGGCTACTCAGGAGATTGGGATCTGAAGATCCAGCCCAGGTAGTAAAGTTCTTATCTCTGATTAACCATCAAATTGCTTTAGTAGCAATAGAAATTATTTTCTACACATAATGAAAAATATCACTTTTATAGCTTGGTTGATTCCCAATTGACAATAACAATACTCTACAGATTGTTGACTATTTGAAAGCAATTTTATATTTGTTTCATCTAATCCTCACTGCTCTTTGAAATGGACATATAAAATTTACCTCTCTGAAAGAGTAGAAGCAAAAATGTCTAATACTAAGCCCTAAGTCACAACCCAAGTTATGGGTTGAAATGATTGAAACAAAGAAGGGTCCTAGTAGCTCATACCTGTAATCCTATTAGAGACTGAGGTTTGAAGCAAGCCCAGCAAGAAAGTCTGCAAAACTCTTATGTTCAATTAATCACCAAAAAACAAACAAACAAACAAACAAAAACAAAACAGAAGTAGAGCTGTGGCTCAAATGGGAAAGTGCTAGCCTTGAATGAAAAAGGCTAAGGACACCTCCCAGGCCAACTTCAAGCCCTGAATGGTACCAAAAAGAGAAATCAAAAAGACTGAAGCAACCACAGATTCTCTTTTCTCCCCAATGAATTCATTGGCTTTGTTTAAAGGGATATTGTGTTCAAATGGACACCTCAGCATTGGGCACCACCATGCCTAGCTATAACCCTTTTTTTGAGTAGCGATGCATTTGGGGAATATGTAGCTTCCTTTTTATGGAGAAAAATCATGTAGTAAAAGTGGTATATTTAATGTTTAATATGTAGTACTATAAAAATATGTAGAAATTCAAGAAATTTTGAGAGAACACTTGGTTAAACAGATACCTTGTCTAGACAAAGCAACTTGAAATCAAAGTTGAGAGCCTCTGACTGAGGTTACAGTGTGTGATATCTGAAATGCATGTTAACCCCTCATTGCTGAAGCAGATTCACAGACAAATACTGTGTGCTTCTAACCTCCATTCATTTATAACTCATTCATTTTTTTATTTTTTAGGTAGGATCTTACATTTCTGCTTAATACCAGAGTCAGACCTTGATCCTCCTATTTCCACCTTCAGAAGAGTAGAGCTTGTGTCACATGCATGTGACTACTATGTCTTACTTATTTTTAGAGACAGGTTCTCATTAACTTTCTTCCCCAACTAGCTTCATACAATGATACTCCCATCTCTACCTCTCAGGCAGCGTGGATTATAGTCATGCACCACTGCACCTGGCTACCTGCCACTCTTTTGGGCACTAGGAATACAGTAGTCAACAGAAGAGTCAGAGTCTCTACCTTTTGTTCTAGCATTAGTCAAGGCAACACTAAATGATTTAATATATGAGAAAGTACCTGACATAGAGCCTGTTTCATCATGACTAGAGAATACTAATTGTTAGTTATCGACTTTGAACTTAAAGTAGGAATTAAGTATCTACTCTTGATAAGGTAGTTTGGACCATTTTGTAAGGGGGAGGGAGGAAAGAGATGAACACATTTGCAGACTTTTTTTTTCAAATATTACATTAAAACATTATGATTTTTCTTACATTCAGGGGTCCTTATATGTTCTTAAATGTGTTTGGTTGTCTGTCCTAGGCCACTTTTGCCATCAGAGATGAGATGTGGAAGCCAGTGCTACAGTGGGTCCACACAAGTGTGGGGTATTGTCTTGCTTGGATAGTTTTTGTGGCTTCCTTGAGTTACAGAAACGGTTCATTGTTGTCCCTCATCAGGCATTACATAGAAACCCTTTGTGTCATTATGTACCAACTGACAGCTTTGCAACAGCTATGTCAGTTCTTTTGTTAAGTGTAACGACAGTCAAAAATGATGTTGTGGAAGGAAAGAATAAATGAAACCCACTGGTAAGAGCATATATGGTATATAAACACATCTTTTAGGCTAGTTTCTGGCATTATCTGAAGTAGCATTTGAAATGCACAATACAGGAAATTGTGTGTGTGTGTGTGTGTGTGTGTGTGTGTGTGTGTTCTTTGTTTCATTCTGCTGTTAAAAGCACATATGATTAGTTCTGTTTCTTGTTGGCTTTGCTGTGACCTTACTACTTCTTAGGTGGGTAAGGGTAGTTTGTTGGTTACAGGTAGAGAGTAAAACTAGTCTTTCTATGCAAATTCTTTGCAAGATTACATTTTCTTATATGTTTACTTTTCCTTAAACTTAGGGATGGGTTGAAATATTTAATTGGACTTCCACTTGAAATAAACTCTTGACTTTATAGAAATGGCTAGGAGTACCTGGGAGTTAGGACTTTTGTCTCCAGATGAAATACTTTGGAGTAAATTTGTGATGACAGTTTTGGGGTGAGCAGATATCATTTCTGCAATATGGTAATGGTAGTAGTGGTGGTGGTAGTGGTAGTATGTGTGTGTGTGTGTGTGTGTGTGAGAGAGAGAGAGAGAGAGAGAGAAAGGAGAGAGATTTTGAAGCAAGCATTAAGGAATTAATTAGTGGCTTTTTCTGGTCCTTTTTTAGATGTGAAGCCCTCCAATATGCTTGTAAACACCAGAGGACAGGTCAAGTTGTGTGACTTTGGAGTGAGCACTCAGGTAGGTCTCTTTTGCTCCCACAATGTTATCCTTCTGTAATGTCCACCTTTTCTTTTCAGTCTGCTCTCAGGCTTAAAAAAAAACACCTAGCCACCAGACAAACAGAAGTCTACCTCTTTCCCTCGGCTGGGAGTGTGTTGTTCATTTTTAATCTCTAAGCGAGTTTCCTTCATCAGAATATGATTGTTCATTGTTTAATGACAGTAAAAACTGCTGATATTGTAATTACTACTTCCGAATAGCAAACTTCATTGATATGCAGCTTTGATATGAAAGCGTTTTGGCCAGACAAAAGGGAGGGCAGAGTGGGAGCTGTGCCTAGGGAGCCCAACTGGCCCACAATAAAAATTAATACTGGGAGCAACAATAGTGGAGGGCCATTACAATGTGCAGCACAAATTTTAATTAATTTCCATTTTGGGCCTCCCCTGAGGACCCCGGTGATAGTGACCTATGAGCGTGCTGTGATGTTGATTTGAATTGCAGCCACCTTTACTCCCAGCCAAACATGAAGACCAAAGCGAAGGTCATCGCTGTATTATGAGTTGTCAAAGTCTGTTATCCCTCCAGCGTATTTAGCGTTCGTTTCATTCTAGTAATGCATGGGGCTTCATTCACATTTTGAGCCATCTGACTAAAAAATTCTACTTCAAAATTGACTTTTTATATCAGGCGGGTTTGGGGTACTAAAGCGCTTAAGCATCCTGCTTAAGTGAATTGTTTAAGGTTATCTGCTATAAACTGTAATGCTGTGCTTGTTTAAATTGGAAATCACATTCAAAAGAAAAGAGAGATTTAATCATTTTTAATGCCTTTCTAGATAAATTTGTTCCCTTTTACATAATTTTTAGTTGATTTGTAGGAATGATGATTGTAGGTTAAATGAGGAATAATTGCCCATTTTATTTCCACATTATCTTTATATTGTTCTGACAAACTGTTTTGTCTCATAGCTGGTGAATTCTATAGCCAAGACGTATGTTGGAACAAATGCTTACATGGCGGTAAGTAAACTTATGCAAAAATAACATTTAAAACCAGCATCTTTATCTTTATGTACTTGGTAATGTACAGTTCTTGAATTAATTCCCCAGCCTTAGCTGAGCAGATCATAAATTACAAAGTCAATCCAGTCATGATACAATTTTTAAATCTCAAGAATCCATGAGGGTTTATAGAGAAGCTATCAACTTATCTGACTTGTTGGTTTAACATGTGTAAGTGTGAAATTTCTGAGGACTAGTTTTGTTTATTTGTTTTGTGTTTTTGGCAGTACTGGCATTTGAACTCAGTGCTTTACCTTCATCTAGACAGATATTTTATCACTTAAGCCAGGTCTCCAGCCCTTTCAAATAGAATCTTGCATTTTTGCCTAGGGCTGGCCTCACACTCTCATCATCGCCACCCCCCCCCCCCCCATTTTATACCTCTAGAGTAACTGGGATTACTGGTATACACCATCATGCCAAAACCTCCTCAGTTTTACAAAATATAATTTTGTTAGGGTGTTGAACAGAGAGGTTACCATTTTGTAAGTCAGGTAATGAGTACAATTCCTTTGGGCAATGTCACCCCTTCCTTTGCTTTCCACCAGTTTCTCTCTCATGTCCCTGCCCACAAGTTACATAGTTCATTTTCCACATAGTATATACTGAATACACTGTACTATGACTGCATTTGTTTACCCTTCTTCCCTCCATTTCTGCACCTCCCTTTTGCCCTCCTAAAAAGACAAAAAAAAGCAACACCACCCTATGTTTTTCATTTCCTGGAATTTGTTTTGATAAATAGTATTAAATGTTCAGAGGGTTCCTCTCCTAAAAGTATGCTCCTTTACTCTGACTACAAAACTTCTTCATTTTGAAGTTTAGACTTATAGTTATATGGCACTTTATAACACATTGGCAATTTTTTTTCACACAGTTTAATTATCCTAATGTATGCCAAGGCATCCATCAGTAAGATTGTTTTTTTCCAGAAATACAAATCAGTTTTGTTACTAGATCAATATTAAATTACTGGCTGGGAATGTGGCTAAGGGGTAGAGTGCTTGCCTAGCATGCATGAAGCCCGGGTTCGATCCCTAAGTACCACATAAAAAGGCCAGAAGTGGCTCTGTGGCTCAACAGGTACAGTGCCCAGGTCCTGAGTTCAAGCCCCAGGACTGACAAAAGAAAGAAATTAAATTACTGATATAGCCAAATCTTATTTATGGATCACTGAATGACTTTTGCTAGCAATTCTTTTTAGAATTTCTACCTGTATATTTTGATATTATTATTAGTATATTAGTTTCACTGAACTAAATTGGCCAATAAAAGGTAGAGGAAAATCTTTTTCTTAGAACCTTTTGAGTAAGTCATTTTTCATTGCTTTATACATCACTCTGAGAATGGGAGGTAAAAGGGCAAGCAGAAACTTATTTACTATATTTTGGAGCAGAGTTTTAGGATGAATTTTTACAAGAACGCTAGATTGATTTAGTTAACCTTTTTCATTTCAATAGCCTTTATGTGGTCTAAAAAGACAATTTTAGTCTGGATAGAACCGTAGATCTTGCTCTTCATTTTTGTTTTTTGTTCACCTATTATCTTGATTAGAAGATTCTAGTATCCTGGATCTTCTCACAATCAGTGCAAAACATTTTTCTTTCATTTAGATACCAGAAAATTTAAAGGGCTTTGGAGTTTTTTTTGTTTGTTTATTTGTTTTCTAAGAAAAGTTGGGAAAAAGATTGACCTTGAAGTCACCTTATCTGCTTTTGGAAACCTAAATTTCCTTCTGGGCTCTCCTTAGATGAGATTGGTGAGCCATCTCTGTAGTTAACAAAGCCCTGCTGAATGCTGGATTCAGCCCTTGAAAGATATGAAACACTGTGATTTAAAAAGAAAAACCATCAATGAAATAACTTGCCAACTACACATCATGTTCTTAGTAGCTTTAAATTGTTCTAATAATTAAACCACATTATATTTAAATGTACAAATCCAGATTACAGTTGTCTTTCCCAGGTGGACATTAGAGAAATTACTTTTTTCCCCCTTTTGTTTATGGATAAATGTGATGTGAGTATCAGTTAATTGAAAATGGGAGGATTCAAATTAGGAAATGTTCACTCAGATTGGCAAAGCTAAAAATTGCTTTGCTTCTTTGGTGAGTTAATTGTCATTATCAACTTTGTAATTCAAGCTGTAAAAAGAATAAACTACCAAGGAAGGAAACAATAATAGCCTAATAGTAATAGCAAGAGCTTTGTTTACTTCAGTAAGCTGAGTACTTACCTAAATTGTGGGGGATTAAAGGTTGGAGGTGGAGAATCATAGCCCTAACTCTCTTGGTGTATTAACACAGGCCTTCTGTCTGCTGGCAATCTCTTGAGGGAGACAGCTTGGGCTTTTGGAGTTTTTTAAACCACAACTGGATCTTACTTTAGCTGGTCTAGTTTGTAATTTTGCATCACACATGAATATCTATGCCAAGTGTTAGAGAACTATAGCCCTCAGTCTGTTTTTGTAAATAAAGTTTTATTGGATTATGGCCATGGCCATTTGCTTATGTGTTGAGTATGGCTGCTGTCATACTCTGGTGGCAGAACTGAGCATTTTTGACAATTGCTACAGAGACCATATGGGCTACAAAGTGAAAAATATTTACTATCTGGCCTGTTACAGAAATAAATTTGCCAACCCCTTGCTTATGGCAGTGAAAGCTATATCTGAAACCTTTAGGTAAATCAACAAGTGTTCACTGAGCCCCTCCAAGTGCTAGTCAGGGATGATATAATTACTTTGCAGTCTAGAGAAGATGTGAGTGAAACAGAAAACATGATCTCATGTATAACAGCAGTGAGTGTGAACTAATAAAGTCTTAAGCTGTCTTCTTACTTGAGGAAGCAAGAAGACATACAGTGTACACATGGTGATTCTAAAGAGATGTGACAAGGGCTCTTAGAAAAGAGAGAGCAGAAGCATGCTAGGAAGTGTTGGACAGAAACTAGAGCACTATGGCATCATTGGAGGTGAGGAGGTGGGGCATAGGGCAGTGATAAATTGTGATCTGATGATGTGGTATTCTTATTTTATATCCATTTTCCTCATTTTGTGTTTATATATACTACTATGCAGTGATAGTAGCATCAACAATTACAGTAAACGATTACCACTATGTGCCAGTTATTCTTTTCTTTTTCTTTTTTTGTGAGTTGGAACTTGTTCTTGCTTGAGACACAACATATGGGCCTTTTTACCTTATTTGTTCATGGTTTTCCTCAGGCCACATGATTGTACATACTACTTAAGGTCCACATTATTAGGATTATAGGCAGGAAGCACCATGCTAGCTTATTGGATGAAACAGAGTCTCATTAACTTTTTGCCCAGGTTGACCTCAAAGCAGAGTCCTTCCACCTCCCAAGTAGCTAGGATTACAGGTATGACCTACTACACCCAGCCCTTTAAATCCTCATAACAGCCCTATGACATAATGTTAGCTTTCTTAGTCTATAGATGAAGAAATTGAGGCAGGAGAAGTTATATGATTTACCCAATTCCATACAGCTAATAATGTAGGAGAGTTGGGATTCAAACTTATGTCATCTGCCTTGAGACATTAATTTCTTAATTTTTTTGCCTCACACTGTATCCAAGTTTATGATGTGTCTCCTCCAAGTTAGACTGTGAATGTCACAGGGGCAGGCCTTATTCTGCTCACTTTCTATACCTTTCCTCCACACGGTGCCCAGTGAGTAAATTAGCTTCCTTCCAAAAGTGACTAGTTCATTTTCATAAGCAGAGCATCAGACTCTGTATTAAATATCTTGCTTCTGTATGAAGGTCTGGAAGACCAAAAGTACTCAAATGCAACCAGCTAGCTTGTTCAAATTCAGAAAAGTTCATATCAGTGCCACTTTAGTCTCAATGCCACTTTAGTCTACTGTAACCTCAAATATAAGATACAAGACTGTAGGACAAAAATAAGAAAGCTTTTGTTGAAGAAAAGAAAATTTTTTTTCTAACATCCCAAGTCTTTTTAAGGTAGGGTAGATTAAACAGTAGACTTGTAGAAGACTTGGAAAAATCATGATCTAGCCTCTTCACCTGGAAACGAAGGTGCCCTCTTCAAGGACACCTGCTTTTTTAGGTCATGATAATTGGGTTCAGCAGGCACTTTCATCCACAGCATGAAGATTTGCAACTGCATTTTAAAATAATTTCATCCAAGATTATAAAAGTGGTCCAGAAGGCTTTGCAACACATACTAAACTGTTTCTCAGAAATTCTAATTGCTGGGCTGGGAAGGTGGCTCAGTGGTAGAGCGCTTGCCTTGCATGCCTGAGGCCCTGGGTTCGATTCCTCAGCACCACATAAGCAAAAAGAAAAAAAGCCGAAAGTGGCACTGTCGCTCAAGTGGTAGAGAGCTAGCCTTGAGATGAAGAGCTGAGGGATAGTGCCCAGGCCCAGAGTTCAGTCCCCACAACCGGACCCAAAAAAAAAAAAGAAATTCTAATTGCTAAAATTGCTCTGTTCTTAAGATTAAACTTCCTAATACTTTAACAAACTACTTATTTGTATTTTTTCATTATAATTTTAAAAATCAGATTTAGAAGCTTGACTTTATTGTGAATAACTGAAACTTGAAAATTTTCAAAATAATGTTGTAGCCAGTTGTTGGTAGCTGATGCCTGTAATACTAACTATTCGGTGTTATGTGTGTGAGTGGGGGGAGGGGAGAGTGAGAGAGAGAAAGAGGAGGAAGAAGAGGAGGAGGAGATGAGGAAGAGGAAGAGGAAGAGGAAAAAAAAAAACCTGTAAGCAGTCAAAACTAGATGCAAGGCTGGGAATGTGGCTTGGTGGTAGAGTGCTTGCCTAGCATGCATGAAGCCCTGGATTCAATTCCTCAGTACCACATGAAACGAGCCAGAAATGCAGCTGTGGCTCACAGGGTAGAGTGCTAGCCTTCAGCAAAAGAAGCTCAGGGGCAGAGTCTAGGCCCTGAATTAAAGCCC